ATCACAGCTCCCAGCAACCTCCAACTCCTGGACTCAAGCGAGTCTCCTGCCTCCGCCTCCCAAGTAGCTGAGACCACAGGTGCCTGCCACAACACCTGGCTATTTTTTGGTTGCAGCTGTCATTGTTGTTTGGCGGGCCTGGGCTGGATTTGAACCCGCTACCTTAGGTGTATGTGGCTGGTGCCTTAGCCACTTGAGCCACAGGCGCCGAGCCTCTTTGTCATATTTGTACAGCTACACAGCTCTCTTTTGGTTACTGCTTGCCTATGATGTCTCTTTATCATTCTTTTGCTTTCTACTTTTTTGTGTTCATGTGTATGTATATGCACACACACTTTTTTTTGAGATAGGATCTGGCTCTGTCATTCAGGCTGGAGTGTAGTAGCATGATCATAAGTTACTGTAATCTCGAATTCCTCTCAAAAAAAAATTCACCCACTTATTCTTCTGATATTTTTACAGATTTTTTTATTTGATTTGTTTTTGAGACAGAGTCTCACTATGTCACCCTTGGTAGGGTACCGTAGTGTCACAGTTCACAGCAACCTCAAACTCTTGGGCTCAAGCGATTCTCTTCCCTCAGCTTCCCAAGCAGCTGGGACTACAGGTGCCCACTAAAATGCCTGGCTATTTTTTGGTTGCAGTTGTTTAGCAGGCCCAGGCTAGGCTTGAACCACCTGCCAGGCTCAGTGTATGTAGCTGGCGCCCTACTCACTGAGCTATGGGTACCAAGCCATTTTTACAGTTTTAGGTATTATGTTCCAGTCTTTAATTGATTTTGGGTTGGTTTTTATATGGTGAGAGATATAGGTCATGTTTCATTTTTCTGTATATAGCAATCCAGTTTTCCAGCACCATTTACTGAAAAGAGTGTCCTTTCTCCAGTGTATGTTATTGTTTCTTGGTCAAAAGTCAGTTTGCTGTAAGAATGTGACTTTATTTCTGGGTTCTGTCTTTTTAAATTTTTTTTTTTGAGACAAAGCCTCAAGCTGTCGTCCTGTTGTGAGTGCCGTGGCATCATAGCTCACAGTAACCTCAGACTCTTGGGCTTAAGTGATTCTCTTGTCTCAGCCTCCCAAGTAGCTGGGACTAGAGGCACCTGCCACAACACCCAGCTATTTTTAGTTGTAGTTGTCATTGTTGTTTGGCAGGCGTGAGCCGGATTCGAACCCACCAACTCTGGTATATGTGGCTGGTGCCCTAGCTGCTGAGCTACAGGCACTGAACCTATTTCTGGGTTCTTTCTTCTGTTCCATTGATGAATGTATCTATCCTTATAGTATAAGTTGAAGCCAGGTTTTGTGATGCCCCCAGCTTTGTTCCAAAAGTTTGAGGTTGCTGTGAGCTATGATGCCATGGCACTCTACCCAGGGTGACATAGTGAGACTCTGTCTCAAAATAAATAAATAAAAAAAATATATATATATATGTTCTACCCCATGTATAAGTAAAAGGCAGCTATTATTTCCAGCTACCATTTAAAAAAAATCATAGGAGATTGGAATGGAATATCCTGACAACCTAAAACAACAATGTATAGTAATTGAAAAGAAGATAAAATAATCTAGAGCAGAAAAATTAAAATTGGATTTACTAAACAGCAATGAGAAGTATATATTAATTGCTTGTTGTCCACCAAGGAGAAAGTGATACCGAAAAAAACAGATAAAAATTGTTAAAGAATAATAGTAAAGAGATGTAGAAAAAAATGGAAAGGAAGAAACTATAATGAAAGAGAAAAGAGAAAGATAAGGGGGGATGTTAAGTAATTAATATTAATTGTAATTTAAAGGCTTTCCATTATCAGGCTGTGCCTCTAGGAACTGTATGCATCTTTCATTGTAGGGGGAGAAGGAACCTGAGGTAAATCTGGAGAAGATAGAGACAATGGCTGAAGAAGAAGCAGGAGTTAAAATATCTATCACATAATAGCCATTGATTTCTTGAACTATACACTAATGTGAATCTGTGTTTGTCTTTTCTTCTCTAACATTTCAGTTTAATGATGAGAAAAAATTGATGAACTTTCATCAGAATCTTCAGGATATCACAGAAGATCAACTCAGTTTGGCCTCAATTCACTATATGCGATCTCACTACCAAGAAGCTATTGATATATATAAGCGAATACTATTAGATAACAGGTCTGTATTCTTTTACACCTACTTGAATCTCTTTCATTTTGTGAGTTTCTTCTGTAACTAGTTTGGCTGAGGACCTAGTGTCCTTTGGATCTAGTACCGGCATTTGCTCGCATTTGTTTATTTGATAATCTGGTGAGATTAAGAGATCCTTACATATTGTCTGTATCAGGCTTTCTCTACATTTTTTGCATTATCACCCTTCTAAGGAGACTTGTTAAACATTTTCACTCCTAATTGCTCTCCCATGAGATTTTAATATACAGATGTATATGTTGATATATGCAGATATATTAATATATGGTGTATTTGTTTATGTACTATGTCCTGTATGTGTGTACTTATAAAATGGCTGATTTTTTTCATCCCTGCAGATGAAACAATTTTTGCCCCCTTGCAGGTGATACAGGCCCTTTTGAAAATGCATGGTCTAGATGTGTTGTAATTACATTATAGGTAACTTACCCACAAAATTAGAAACAAACCATTCCGAAGAATCAAAGTTCCAATTTTATCTGAAGCATCAACGTTCTAACTTTATCACTGAACATTGACCTCCCTCTCCCACCACAGAAATGTTTCATCCCACTTCCTTCTCACCTCTCTTGCATTACCTTCCCAGTCTCCTGCCTGTTCCCAGTTCCAGCAACAAACCTGCTTGCCTTTCTGACCATCTTCCGTGTGATGTGTGCTGGTTTGTGTTTATGTTCACTTACAGCATATGCTGGTTTTTTGGTATCAACTACATGACCTTTTCCCTTTCTTCCCTTCTTGTCATCTTTTACTATACTTATATCAAACCACCTCCACCAAATATTATAATGAAAAAAGATCACACTTATTATATCTTGCTTTCTTTTTTCACAAGGCAAATTCATAATCTGTCCTCTTTGCCTTTTTGTCCATTTGAGCTTTGTAGTTGCCAACATTCCTGTGAAGTAGACTTAAATTGTTAACCCCTAATTCTTTCATCTAATAGGGAATACCTTGCCCTCAACGTTTATGTGGCACTCTGCTACTACAAGTTGGATTACTATGATGTGTCTCAAGAAGTTTTGGCTGTTTACCTTCAGCAGATTCCTGATAGCACCATCGCTCTCAATCTTAAGGCCTGTAATCATTTTCGCCTTTACAATGGCAAAGCAGCCGAGGTAGTGATGTGCTTTTAAATTACGTAACTGCAGTTTGAATTACTTTATACTCTCCAAGTTATTCATGAAAATCTATTATCTGGCTCGGCACCTGTGGCTCAAGTGGCTAAGGCGCCAGCCACATAAACCTAAGGTGGTGGGTTCGAATCCACCTGGGCCCACCAAAACAACAATGATGGCTGCAACCAAAAAAT